ATCATTATTATTATTATTATCATTATTACTATTAGTGGGTCGTAAAGTACATCTTTACATATCTTCATACATATATAGGATGGTTTACATGTATGTTGGCCATGGTGTACCGAACGCCTGTGACAATGGCATATACGCGTACTTGTTTTGATAAACAATTTCTGATATTCGTTTTCGTCTCGGCTATCTTACTCACAATGCGACCGAGGTTTGTTTGTCAAGGTTTTAAGGTTGGATTTTGCGGGCTAAGGGAAGATACATATGTAGGTTAACGTCATAGTATGAGATGTCTTAGTAGTACAGCAGACATACATTCTTTCATGCCATACATTCATTCTCTTTCATGACATACATTCTCTTTCATATATATATATATGTATTATATATATGTACATATGTATATATATATATATATATATATATATATATATAATATATATATATATATATATACACACACACACACACACACACACACACACACACACACACACACACACACACACACACATATATATATTATATATATATATATATATATATATATATATATATATATATATATATATATTATATATATATATATATATATATATAAAGTATGTATATATGTATATATATATATATACATATATATTTATATATATATATATATATATATATATATATATATATATATATAATATATATATATATATATATAGAGAGAGAGAGAGAGAGAGAGAGAGAGAGAGAGAGAGAGAGAGAGAGAGGAGAGAGAGAGAGAGAGAGAGAGAGAGAGAGAGAGAGAGAGAGAGAGAGATAAACATGAATAGATAGATAAGTACAGACAGATATAGATTGATAGATAAGTACAGACAGATATAGATTGATAGATAAAGACAGACTGATAGATATGAATAGACAGAGATACACATATGAGGAGATAGATACCAAAATACATTTATATGGATATAAAAGGATAAACATATAAAAAAGGTATGTATATATATATATATATATATATATATATAATATATATATATATATAATATATATATAGATAGAGATAGATAGATAGATAGATAGATAGATAGATAGATAGATAGATAGATAGATAGATATAGATAGATAGATAGATAGATAGAGATAGATAGATAGATAGATAGATAGATAGATAGATAGATAGATAGATAGATAGATAGATAGATAGATAGATAGATAGATAGATAGATAGATAGATAGACAGACAGACAGACAGACAGACAGATAAAGTGAGAGATAGGAAAAGAGAGACTGGAAAAGAAAGAGATAGAATGAGATAAGAGATATGGACAGATAGAAAGAGATAGAATGAGATAAGAGATATGGACAGATATAAAGAGATAGTGTTCAGTTGATAGAAATAAGAATATATAGATGCAGGGATAGAGAGACACAGATAGATTTAAAGATGGACAAACTGTAAAAGACTGATCTGCTTCCTCTTTTTCCCCAAGGTTTGTATTAAAGAAAAACAAACAAATACATATTCCCCTTATTTATTGAAATTAAGGTACAGTCTGAAGTACTTCTTCATACCTGAGAGCAAGTACAGTAAATACTGTTGACAAGAAAATAATTCCTAATCTCTTTTTAGAGTTGAGCATTTTCAACCATCTTTCAAACGTTGCCTCTATCTGGGAACTGTTTTCACTCAAGACAATTGAGTCTATGCCAGGTGAAGTTGAGACATAACGAGAGAAAACCAAAGCTATTTCCGAATTGAAATGCAAACGGCATCCTAGTAAGAACAGGAGTGTCAGATACAGCGTAATTTAATACATTAAGGACGGACAGAAAAGACTCATTTGTGTATATGCTCTCCAAAGTCTGACATATACTTCTAGTGGACAGATATGGACATTAAATTTCATCAACTGAAGGTCAAAAATTGTCCATCAATGTACCTTCTTTTTGCAAACTTTACCTTCTTCACTTGAACTCCTTTTTATAAAGCTATCCTTCTTCTGTAACATAACTAACTATCCTAAGGGAGACACTTTGCACCCTTTGAATAATACTGAAAATTTCTATCTAGTGTACACTATACACTAACATGCATATTGCCTCCACTCTTTACTCCTCTCTGTAAAAAGTGCTTTCCCCTAAACTTATCAGTCCTTTTTGTGAACTATAAATAAAACTGCCAGTGAATGCAAAAAGTTTCACTAGTGAAAGTTTTTACCATTTTTCCAAATATTACTATTCCCATAGCTTACACTCTGGCAATAAAAAGCACTATGCACAAGAGAAAGTAATCAAATACTGTTGTTTTAATCTTTAGCCAACTTTAATAGCAACCAACCAACATGCACCATCAAAAAATAATGAAGTATTGACTCATCATACAAACAGCATGCACTCTGTTTGATAGTGGTAATTGCAAAACACAGAACAATGTCTTATCCACCCGGGGTACACTGCTTACCCAACGAAGGGATACTTTAAAACTTCAATTCAACAAATATGGGAATTGAAGCTCATCATCAGTTTTGCTTTTACTGATTACATTAATCTTAAATTGATTAAAGTGCATAATTCTTTAAAGTTGAAAACTGCAATATTAATTAAAATAACAAAAAATCAGACACAGCAGTATAGTTATTCTTCAGTGTAACTAATAATATTTTATTAACATAACAATTGGTATCCATACCAATTGTATTTAGTCCTGAACTGTATAAATTTGTTGAAAATAAGTTTTTACAGTCAAATGATAAAATTTTTATGTAAAAACTGGGTTTGCTGATTGCCTGTTAGTGGGTTGTCTGAAGCTCAAAAGCTTTAATAACTCTGTGAACTATATACCTCAATGATTATCTTATTCACTACAAGGACTGACACTAACTTCTTCGCTTGTATGAAAATCTAATACTGGTGATTTTATAATCATTATTTTTTAAATATAAAACAAACCAATCTTTAAATATCATGTATCATCATGAAAATTTATAAGCACACAAAAGAATCATCAGTATGAAATTTTACAGTATTAGATTGCCCTTTAGACTGATTTAGATTGACTCAATATGTCAAAAGACTGAACATCACTTTAAATGCAGTTTAGATAAACATTAAACCACAAACTCCAACAATGGGCAATGTGTAAGACATGTTTGTTCTTATCATGCCTTAGTATATAACTGGTTGCTATCTTTTACATAAATAAGAAGAAGTTACATAAAGTTGGAAATGATTATGCTCAATATCTTTTACAACAGTATATCACTAACATACATTGTCTCTCTCCACAGATATAATACAATGCACTGGCTACATATAAAAAAGAAGAAAAGCTGTCTTTTTCATTTTGTTTCATGATTCAGCATCTATGTTGAGCCACATATTATAACTTTGTTTGGTGCAAGTATCCCAAATCCTCTTCTAGTCTGACAACACAGAATACATCTCAATTTTCCTGTGGGGTCTGTGACTTGTTCCTCTCATAGTCTTCAAGCAAAGAGCTTTGAGATGCCATATATTAAAAAGAAACAAATAAAATATATCATTTGCATACTTATTTCTCATGTATTTCTGAAAACAATGGCAAAATCTAATTCTAAATTGGATCTATTGATATATTCTGCTGCTTAAGACACTGAAAAGATGAGATTGTCAGAGCTAAAATGTGCACAGGACACAGGATCACGACTTAGATCCTGAGGTTAGAAGCATGCTAAAGTGGTTCTTCTTCCAGTTAGCAGTCCACACCCAATAAATAAAGAAGTAAATACTATATGTCTTTATATATAATCATATAACCTTTGTACAAATATCTTTTTTATCTATTCATTAGTATTCCCCTGTAAACAACAAATACTGTTTATTTACCAGTTTTTGTGATCAGCTTAAATAAGTCATGCAACTATGAAGATGCAGATTTATCTTAAAAGGCTTAACTGTACTGAACAGAAGCAAAAGTGTTTTTAAAGGAGGATCAGAAACTGGATCTTATGTTTCTTATACATACAGTCACCTTTAGATGCCATATCATCAATGTTGATTTTAATGTGACAGTGAATTTCAAATTCATGGTGATTGCAATTTCGAGCAAACCCAAGTAATTTATAGGTTATAATGATAGTAATAACAATAGTGATAATAATAATTATGATAATAATAATAATAAATGATGATAATAATAATATTAATAATATAAATAAAAAGAAAGAAAGAAAAGGAAAATGTGGGTGACATAGAAAGAAAACTTCAAAATAAGACAAAATGATGTTTAAGTATCTCCATAAGTTGCACGTTTTATCTTCTCCTTCGATTTGACTATCACTGAGTGAATCATAAAAAAACTAAATGAACACTAAATAAGGTGAGTCCATGTCAAATGGTGCATAACCTCGACCCACAATTTGCTCCTACTGATTGCCAAAGAAGGGAAAATATAGGAAGAAAAGGAAAAATAAGGGAAAAGGAGATAGAGAAAAGGAAGGAAAAAATAAAAGCCGAGATGCATCATCAAAACAGATGGTTTCCAGCCAGAATAATGGTTAGCATTTTGAAAGTTAGGTGAATGTTTTTGTTGTTATTTTGAAATTTCAAACACATGTAGGAACAATCTAAGAAACTGACATCTAACACTTTTATCTTTTTAATCTTTTAATAATCATCATGACTAGTATAAGTGATCTTGTCAGGATAAACACCTAAACTGACTAGTAATACTTAGGGCTTTCAAATCCCAGACAGAGATGTTGAAAGAGACATACATCAGTAAATAGAGAATGAATATATAACAGAATCTCTTCCGAAAGCCAAATCCCAGAGTGAATTAGCACCTGCATCATCCTTTCTCAGCCAATTCCACTCTTCATACCTTTAACTGAAGCCTAAAATTTACAAAATAATATATCACAAGTACTCTTCAAGTACGGAAGCCTTACAAAACTGTTTCATTAAAGACTACTACACATATCATACCTATAAACTCTTACATAATCATTATAACATAACATAAAACTACCATCACATGGCAAACTTTTATTTTCTTGAAATATACATCTTCAGATTATAAACTTCAAAATAGAAATTCAACCTGAACTATATAATTAATCAGCAACGGTAACTATAAGTCTAATATACACACAAGTGCCTCGCCAGGTTGCAGGCTGATGCTGCGGAACTTGACATATCCTGCGTGGCCATGCGAAGAGGCTAAAACTGAGCCTCCGAAATATAGGTGGGAGAGGTCTTTGGTAAGGACATTCTGCCCGAGGTTTGCCACAACTGCAAACTGATTCCGTCGGGGGAAGAAACGGTCAATGACAATAAGGTCTGCATCAGCATAGCGCACCTGGGAGGGAATGAATGTTTTCCATTAGAGATTATATTTTGTTTATCAAATTATTTCTTTCCAATTAGACTAATAGAAATAATATTGTATCACTAATATATGCCAGAGACAATAAAAAGTATAATAAATAAAATCATATGCATTGAAAAATTAACTGCAGCATCTCTTGCTGGTGTAAATTTTAATAAAGAAGAAGAAGAAGAAGCAGCAGAAGAAAAAGAAATAAAAAACACAACTGGAGAAGTTCAGTCTCTTACCCTATAATTTGATGTCTTAGTAGGATGATAGTCACCCTTATAATCAAAGATTCCATTGATGTACATAGGGACCTGAAACATTGAAAAACATTGATAATCTTTAACTAATGAGATAGCATCACAAAGGAATGACAAATGTTTCCTGAAGCAACAGATCATAAAGTAGGTCTAACAAGTTATTTTCTCTTCTTTAACAAAATATTGACAGAAATATGTTGTAATTTCATGTTTATGGCAATCTGGATAAAAAAGTAATCAAAGAAATCCTAATCAAATTTTGCTTTTAATCCCATAATATTAGCTGTTATGCCTTTTCAAGTTCAATAGAATTAGATATAAAAGATGGCAGTGGTATGTCTGTAGGAATTAGGGAAGACAGTCTTTACTTCATTTCTCATGTCACTATTAAATTATAAAAAAGGTCAAACTGTGCTTATATAATCTTTCTACCTCCACAATGATGTACATATATTGCTGTAACTAAGAATATAAAGCAAAACACCTTACCTTTTCCTGTCGTGCAGTGACCATCGCTTTGAGCGCAACAATTGTATTATTCTGAGCATTTACATTAGCCTCCTCCCAACCTCTGCTAAGACTTTGCCACGGTTTTGCAGAGCTGAATCCTGCATTAACATTTTCATTCCATTGCATAATAGAAGACCATCCATTATCCTGAAAAAAAAAAAAAAAACTTTCTTTACAAAACATTAACTATAAAAGCATGATCTATCATGATCTAGACTAGGGGTTCTTAATCTGGGGTACATGGATGAGTTTCAGGAGGTCGATGAGTATCAGATAAAAATAACATCACTTTATGCATGATTTTTTTTTTTTTTTTTTTTTTTTGTCAACTTTAAAGTTTAATAATGCTTTGTGTATCTCATATATATGAGACAATCAAATCTCAATAAATAAAGTACATTATGCACATTTCATTCAAAGTTGTGTTTTTATGAATATTTATTGAAAAGGGGTCCACAGGTTTCATTAGATTCTTAAAGGACCCAGTGACTCTATAAAGGTTAAGAACCACTGATCTAAACATACGTAAATAGGACTGTAGTATGGAGTTCCAAAACGAATGAACTCTTTTATTTAATATATAAATTCCTCTTCCAGTTTACCTTTGATGCTTCCGAGAGCCCAATTTCATCTCCATAGTAAAGAGTTATTGTCCCTGGGAAGAAGAGCAAGAGGAAGGTCCTGCCAAGAGGATGATTATGCGTGAGGTCACTGATGCGTTCCCTCCAGATGCCACCCATGTTCCAGTTGATCCAAGGCAGGGAGGCATGGTTATCCCAGGCAGTGGTAGAGTTGAGGACTTCTGGTATGGTCTGCAGGATAAAGCAGTAAAAGATACAGAACAACTTCTGGTTAGATTTACTAAATTCCTCCAGTTCCTGGATGAATCACAGCATGTGTGTGTGAAAGAAAGAGAGAGAGAGACAAAGAGAGAGAGAGAGAAAAATACAATAAATTCACAAAACTATGACTTCAGAATAGCAAACCACTTGATGAGTGAAGGAATAGAAAAGACAGAGGCAGCTTTGGAGACTTCAACTCACCTGGGCTGACCCTGTGAGATCCACTGGAGCGTCAATCAGGTCTACAAGATCCAAGACACGATCAAGTTGTATCGAGTTTGACACCTTGAGGCTGGAGAGTAGTTCAAGTGGCACCATCATGACCCTGTGCTCTACACCGTGACTAAAGTGGTCGAGGGTATTCCGCCACTCGTGCATGGCATCCAGAAGCTCAGGATTGGTCATAAACTGTTGAACAAATTTCTTTACTTAGGTATATCTGTCTAGCTGTTTATTTATCTTTTATAATTTATATATTTTTTTGTTTTGTTTTTTATTGTCTGTTATTATCTTGTAGGCATCTACTATATAAAATATATATATGTATGATTTAAAAAATTAATATTAGCAAAAATAGCAAAAATTACAAACAAAACTAGTATATTTCTTGGAACTCCTGCACTTAAATGAAATCATTATCTATAGATATTAATTTTATAAATCTGGAAGAAAACTTGTCTTTCAATATATAAAAAGAGTGTTGAGCCAAACACTGCAGTCAACAAACCATAGTAATGTCTGGGAAAAAGAAACCATCGACTCCAAGGGATAACCAGTAATGCAAAACTTCCGAGATGTGTGAGAGCGGCATTTGCCTGACATTCTTCTCACTCGCTGGCATAACTGTGTGATTTGCATCAGCTCCTGTGAAGTACAATAAATCAATGTGTTGTAGATAAAACTCTCTGCAGTGTTTCTGAATACTCTCAGAAAAAAAATATATATATATATATAATACTTATAATACTGGAATAATCACTGCATAGCTTACTTGAAATAATTTTCCACCAAAGTATACCACCAAAGACCACAGTGGACACATTAATGAATATTACTTCCTTGTACTCATACCTAAATTAGGATTGGTTTTAAAAGTGAGAGGAATGTCCATCAGCAGGTACATGTTCTTTTCATGGAGTACAGCGGCCAGGAGGTGGAGATCCTTGTTACTTCCAAACATTGGATCAACGGCAGTGTAGTTGGTGATGGGGGTGTGGCTGTGTAAGTAGTCCCTTGTTTCCAGGACTGAGTTCAGCCTGATTGCCTTTATACCTATGTTCTGTGTGTAATATGAAAATATTATTGTTAAATAAATATATACTGAGAATGTTGATGATATGAGGTACATGCATTCTGTACATGAAATACCATTAGGTATTAGGTATTCTTTTCCATTTAAATATAAAACATAAATAAATGGAAAAGAAAGGAATCACAGAGACCATTTCACTCACCTTTAGATAGTCAATTCGATTCAAGACACCTGTAAGATCACCAATCCCATCATTATCTGTGTCTTGGAAACTCGGAACATATATTTCGTACATGACTGACCCCTGCCACCACATGTGCGATGGGTTGCATTCTGAACCTTGCGGCATCTGAGGAAAATGAGAAGAGCTGAGTATATTGAAATGCTGAATCCTTCAACCTCTAGTCTACACTCCATGGCTAAAAAATATTTGAAGCTGTAAGATCAGTATGAATAATATAAAAAAGAGGAAATTTCTATGAAACACCTGCACTTCTGCTGCTAGCCCATTTAGAATTCCTGCTCAAGTTGGACTTAAGACTGTAAGTCATCCACAATAGATCACAGCAAGTTTTATGTGAATCTGACTGAAACTCAACCAATAAAGATTCCGATTTTGAAAGCCGCTAGAGAAATTAGCAAATAAGAATTACCACAAAAAGGCAAAAATAGACTAACCTGAATAAGAAGCCCAATGCCTATGCACAGGAGACATATTAGGACCGACATATTTAAGAGCACACATGAGTGACGGATTCGGTTCCAGTTCCACTTGACGTAGAAGGCATCCTTGTACTTGGCGCTGATGTGCACATCGTCCCCTACCATGCAGCGGCCAAGATGTGGCTGTATTGAGGGTTTTGTAATATCGTGATTATCTCTTCTATTTTACTTCTATTTTCTAATCTTTTAGTACAATTTTATAATAAATTTCATGATGAGAAAGTATCAAATATTTCATGATGAGATTGTATTGTTAGAGGTACATGAATTTATGGAAGCTTCAACCTATCTCCATGATGTGGATGTTTTATACAAATATTTCATATACAAGTATGCAATTAACTGATTGTGGTCAATGCTACTCACATCAAGTTGGAAATGGTTAACAATTATAATAAAAAATTGAACTAAAACCATCTATTAAATAGAAACTTCTAGCTTTACTGTAAATACAGAGAGAAAAAATATACAAATAAATAAATAACATTAAAGTTTGTAAAGGATACATGCTCATTAAAAAAACATATCTCTGAGACTGATATTAGGACAAAGCTTCAACTCTTTTATGCACACAAGTAAACTGGGTTTTATTATCTACTTTGTAAAAAATGAGAAACAAGAAATATGAACTAACTTTATCAATGTACAAATATCTAACAAGACAAGATTACCCTTAGAGGATGAAATATGGCAAGTGCTGCTCTATGTAATTATAAACATGAAAAATTCAGAATGCTTTGGGCTGAAATTACAGTTTAAGATAGTAATATACAAAAAGGCACATTTCCTCCCATTCTTTTTAAACAAATTGAACTTTGTTATCCTTAAATGAAAATGAAAATTACATATAAAAATAAAAATCTTTTAGAACAAAATCTTTCACTATATGCTTTACAGCCTACACATTACATTCTCATAAATAACTGATTATGTAACTTCAAGATATCATATACACTATATGTATATACTAAAAGCTATTACAGATTAGTAAACACAATAAATTACACATTATTCTGATAATATGAGTAGAAAGTGTGCATGTTGTGTGTTGTTGTGTGTGTGTGTGTGTGTGTGTGTGTGTGTGTGTGTGTGTGTGTGTGTGTGTGTGTGTGTGTGTGTGTGTGTGTGTGTGTGTGTGTGTGTGTGTGTGTGTGTGTGTGTGTGTGTGTGTGTGTGTGTGTGTGTGTGTCTGTGTGTGTGTCTGTGTGTGTAAGTGTGTGTGTGCGTGTGTGTGTGTACGTACATGTGTGCGACTGTGTGTCTTAATATATCTATTCATGGCGTGCCTGTGGTGTTGTGCATGTTAGTACTCCTGCCTGAATGAACACAGATATGAACTTATTACAAAAATAAAACGCCACCAAAAAAAACAAAACAAAACAAAGCAAATATACACTCTACCTGTAACAAAGGCTTTGAGATATCGGAAGAGGTCTGCAGGCAACACACACATTGGCCAATCTACCAGAGGGATTCTACAAAGGGAAAACACGACTACAGGCATGCGTTGCATTTTGTCTTTTAAAAATAAGATAACATAAAAGAAGCACTCTTGAGAGCATTCACAAAAAATCCTGATTTTGAAATGAAGTAAAGAGGAAAAGGAAGGGAATAAGAGAGAGTGGGAGAGAGAGGAGAGAGAGAGGGGAGAGAGAGAGGGAGAGCGAGGGGGAGAGCGAGGGGGAAGAGAGAGGGAGAGAGAGAGGGAGAGAGAGAGAGAGAGAGAGAGAGAGAGAGAGAGAGAGAGGAGAGAGAGAGAGAGAGAGAGAGAGAGAGAGAGAGAGAGAGAGAGAGAGAGAGAGAGAGAGAGAGAGAGAGAGAGAGAAAGAGAGAGAAGAGAGAAAGAGAGAAAGAGAGAGAGAGAGAGAGAGAGGAGAGAGAGAGAGAGAGAGAGAGAGAGAGAGAGAGAGAGAGAGAGAGAGAGAGAGAGAGAGAGAGAGAGAGAGAGAGAGAAGAGAGAGAGAGAGAGAGAGAGAGAGAGAGAGAGAGAGAGAGAGAGAGAGAGAAATAGAGACAAAGATAAATCATACAAAAAATAAGAAAAAATGAATTATTAATAAACAAAAGTTTACTATTTCATACAAGACTTATATATTAGGAACATTATCATAATAACCAAATCAAATTCATATAAGAACATAAAAATATCCATTAATCTGCAATAAATAATAAATTCCTAAGAGTTAAAATACACTAAGTATAACTAAAACATAAAAAGGATCTGTTCCTCTAGTCTTTTATATCCATTTGATAAAACTAATCAAGGATGTTGATCAATCAAGATTTTCCTCTGACATATCATTCATGTGTATATTGCACACACACACACACACACACACACACACACACACACACACACACACACACACACACACACACACACACACACACACACACACACACACACACACACACACATACACACACTATATATATATATATATATATATATATATATATATATATATATATATATATATATATATATATATAATATAATATATATATATATATATAATATACACACGCATACACACACACTATATATAAATATATATATATACATATAATATATATATATATATATATATATATATATATATATATATATATATATATATATATATATACATATACATATACATATATACATATATACATACATACACACATATTTATACACACATATATATACACACATATATACATATGAACATGTGGTTATATATATATTATATATAATATATATATATATATATATATATATATATATATATATATATATATATATATATATATATATTATATATATGTATATATATATATATATGTATATATATGTAATATATGTATATATATATATATATATATATATATATATATATATATATATATATAATATATATATATATTATATATATATAATATATACATACATACATAATACATACATATATATATATATATATATATATTATATATATATATATATATATATATATAATATATATATATATATATATATATATACATACACATACATATACATATATATATACATATCTACATCTATATACATATAAATATGAGAAGCTATGTAAAACACCTATAGATTCATTTGATACTTCTAAGGCTTTTGCAAATGTTTTCTATAAACAAAAATATAAAGGAGAATCAGCCAACTATATTTAGATATATGGAATTTCACTAATCTTAGTAAAAATTGAAACCAGGAGATATAGTCCATTTTAAATATACTTTTACTTCTTGTAATGGTGTATGAACTGAACATTTCAAATAAAAAAATAAAAACTCGAGTTTAGAATAAAATATTATATACCATATCAACAGAAAATAATCCATCATGCTTAACATATTCAATGATGCTTATGCTTTGAAAAGAAAATGGGTGGTCAAAATTATATTGCTCATGTAACGCATTCGGTAGCTTACTTACATGTGTTATCTAGCCATATCAAATATCTGCAGAAATCTAAACCAAAGCTAAACCAAAATAACACAGCAGTGCAATGAACTTAGAATGAACAATAAGGCAGTAACAATGTTGAAGTCTTGAATAAAAGATGTGAAATAACATAAGTGATTAACACGTCCCATGCCAGTGCTGATCTACTTTCTACGCACTATGCTGACAAAGAAATGCCTAAGAGATGTGCTAAGATATTCGACCGTGAGAAAAGTTACCTGAATCTTGTTTACGATTTCCAATACATCCACAAATATGTCAAGAGGATCATGCTGAGGAAGAAATAATGCTGAGTTTTTCTGCTCCCTTATTATCATCATATGCATCTCTATTGCATGAAGACCTACATGATCTATGACAGCATAAGATTACGTATAAAGTACCATATAAATCACTCTATACTAGGAATTTGAGAATCGTTAATTTCTTCATTCAAATAAGTTTGGTGATAAGAATAGCTACCTACACCAATTCTCTTAGTTCAATAGGAATCATAGTGTGAGTTACTACAAGAATGTACTGATTTTCCATAAACTTAGTACAATTACAAATTGCTTATTAGTTTTAGAATTGGGGACTTGATAATGCTATTCACTACAGTTATAAAAAATCTCTTTATGAAAAAGAAGAAAATTGGAATATAGAATAAAATTTGAAGTTGTATTCTTTATATAACTGCAATTATTCCAAGTTACCAGTGCCATACAGCATTCAACTAACCCCTTCTTTATTATGTTGTTTGGTATTCAAATATACACAAAAGTTCTCAGAAAACACTTAAGTCACAGAGAATCTGCTTATGTTGTAAGTGTGTACGTTCTTGATGCCTGACAACAAATAGGGCTTAAAAATGCTTTGTACAGATGGTATTAATCATCTTTTGATGACAACAGGTTGGTGTCAAACTTGCAGCTACAACATAATGGCTTATATATTGTAGCCACTTTTATACCATTTGATTTTTTTTTCTAGAGGAATTATGTGTTGTGGTAATTAATGATATCCATATGCCTTCTTAGGCTGCTTGAGTACTATCAAAGAGAGGAGAATTTCCAGGATTAGGCCTTCTATCTCTCTCCTACTGGCTGTAGCTTATCCATTTAAAGGTGCTAAAGAGTCTATTCTTTATCATAATATAACATATCATTTTCATAAACATTTCCCTTTACAAGTCTAATATCTTATATCTATGCCATTATCAGTATGAAAGCAAAGTAATCACAGAGCAAACAGTTTGATATAGAATACTCCTCATATTGCAGGTGGAGGAATGGTCAAGTTGGTGCAGAAGAGATGTAGTTTCTTTACATTATAAGGAGGAGGCAGTAAAGAAGTGAAGTTAGTGACAATGAAAATAAAGCTTTTTTTTCAAACTCCATCATCATAGAAGGTGTCTTGAAATGAGGCTACAAGACTTTATGCTTTATGCTTATCTCCATTCCATCCTCTTCTAAATTTCTTGAAACCATATCTGTAAAATCTCCCTACCAGAACATTATGGTTCAACTATAAAGGATTATGTTAAAATATGTTAATATCAAACAAAATATATATTTTAAAACATAAAATACAAGGAGAGTTAAAAATGGGATTAACTTATCACTCTTAAACACAACAACTTACAAAAGCATTAGTGACTTACCAATTTCTTGTTTGCAATGTTGGCACCATCTGTCAGGGGCTCATACTGAATCTCAGGAAAATCAGTGAAATTCGGCAACTGATGATATTCGGGCAGAAGAGGCACCTGTGCTTCTGGAGAGGACCCTGAGGAATCTGAGGAGACACTGGTGCTCCTCTCAAAATTACAGTCATCTGCAAAAGGGGAGAGCATTCACACTTCAATGGATCCCCTTAAATGGTGAAACTAGGTGCATGATATGATCATTCTTGTAGTGAAGAAAAGGAATAGGAAGAGGAAGAAGAAGATGAAGAAGAAGAAGAAGACAAAAATATCCTACAGCTGACTGATATTTCTTACAACTTTCCTTAGGATATGATATAATCATTCTTGTACTTTAAACCAAAAGAATAATTTAGATCATATGGAGGATTGATTTTTAATACAGTTTTCTATCATATAAAATGCCCTTTCCACAGAGGAAGACAAAACTCACTTTCAAAGATGATCTTGAACTTTCATGATGATACCAAATGAGGTGATAAACTTCATCGGAATCCAACCATACTGCCTCTAATGACTAACTGATTTCTAACGATACTGATATAAAGAGAAAGATGAAGATGCTAATAAAGCAGTTCTTTCAAAACATTTTTAGAGTGAGAACTTTTTCTCCAACCATGACTGCCCTAGTAACTCAATAATTTCTCTTTGTATCATTATTGTTAGAAATCAGTTAGTCGTTAAAGGCTTTACGGTTGGAAAGTGACCACGTTAATGACGTCAATTACTATCTTTATGAAAGTTTAAGAACATTTTTGTTTTTTTTCTGTGGGAAGAGTATTCTTAAACATTTGAGATTTGTATAAAAAAATCAGTCCTCTGTATGATTTAAATTATTTTTATTTTGTTTTTAGCACAAGAATAATCACATAGAACATATAAGAAACCTGTATTGACATTCTATTTAAATATATATATATTTTTTTCTAAACATGACTGCTCAGACAACTTACTGTTTCCAACTACAAGCTGCGATCCAGGCGGAAGGATTTTTGCACCAGTTTTCTCCTGTAACCTCAGGTCAGCTCCGACGCCAAGTTCAGGATCAGAACCTGTGGGTTTTGATTTGGTGAAATTTGAGAAATGTGATGCAATATACTCGTTCCTTCCAGAAGATGATTACCATTGGAAAAAAAAAAAAAAAAAAAAAATTGCTATAACCATTTCTGATTGATCTTGCTCCTCTGAACTACATGATAATGCTAAAATATCTATACAGGTTTAGACCCATATCCCTTCAGTGATGGGTATGTCTTTAGCAGTCGTGACATGATAGCCTATGATGTATATTTGAGTCATGACTTGCAACGAGTAGACTGGCTGTTCATAGCTTAGGGCTATCCATAAAGTCTAGACTGTTGTATAATATTGCATCACACAAAATTCAGGCCCCTTAGTTGAGAAATGCAAAAATTTACAACTTCCATAAATACAGTTTTCCATAATAATTTTTATCACTTCTCATAGATCTACCGATTATGCTAAACAATAACATTTTACCTGTACTGAAGGTTATAGCAGCTAGTGGATGAGACCCAGAGAACAATGGGTCCGCTTGGGGTGACGGCTGAGGGCTCGGACATTCAGAATCTAGCAATAAACGCCTGGACCCTTCATCATCTTGGATTCTGAGAAAATTAATTGAAAAGGTTAGAAATATGTCTTTTCCTTATAATGCTTTCTTCACCTTGTATAGTAGATAATATACTTTTCATTCACCAGTCCAAATATCTTCCAATGAACCATTCCAATATGAGAATTAGGAAAGAGTAAGAAAAAATATTAAGAAAGACAAAATATTACAAAAATCCAAATATACATATACAAATGCAAACTTACATTGTATTATACATATACATATAAGTATATATACATACATGGATGCATACATAGACGCATACATACATACATACATACATACATATATATATATGTATATATATATATATATATATATATATATATATTATATATTATATATATATATATATATAATACATACATACATACATACATACATACATACATACATACATACATACATACATACATACATACATACATACATACATACATACATACATACATACATACATACATACATACACACACACACACACACACACACACACATATATATGTGTGTGTAAACACCAAAAGGTTATTTTCTAACACAGAAAGACAAGATGAGTATGAAAAAGGAACCATTTACCTAGGTTGTGGCTGGATCCTGAAGCAGATTTCAGAAAGTACACAAATATCAATCATAGATTTTAAACATACCATTAAAACTTATACACAGTACAGAATAAACAACTACAAGACAGTATCAACTACAAGACAGTACTAGGACTCCTATTATCTGTAAAATCACCAATACTCAAACTACATAACAAAGACACATATCACAACACATATATCAAAAAGGAAAGACCCATATTAAACATACTGATGCACATTGTGAGCAATGTAATCCATCCCTTCTGAGTCAATGCAACAGGTGCTGTCAGACTGGCCCACGTCTGCTGAGTCGTCCGATGTGTAAATGATGCAAGGAAGGGTCTCGTTTTCGTCCGAACGTGAGATGCTGGAGCGTGAGTCATCTGAGTCCGAACTACCAATCTGGGTGTAGTCTCCTCCTGCTACAACTCCTCCCACTGGACCTCCTACTCCACCTCCGCCTCCTCCTCCATCAGAGCCAAAGTTAAGGAGGTGTGGCTTGTCCATTATGCTGTAAATGAGGGAAAGGTATTACACTATTGCATTGTTTTAGTTTCAAAAACAAAGATAATCAGGTATAGAGAGAAAGCAACAGAGAGAAAAAGGGCAAAAAAGAAAGGAAGAGGGAAAATTAGGAATAGAGAGAGAGGTAATGAATGAGATGGAGGGAGATGGAAGGAGAGAGGGAGGGAGGGAGGAGAGAGGAGAGGGGGAGGGAGGGGAGGGGAGGGAGGGAGGGAGGGGGAGGGAGGAGGAGGGAGAGAGGGAGAGAGGGAGAGAGGGAGAGAGGGAGAGAGAGAGAGAGAGAGAGAGAGAGAGAGAGAGAGAGAGAGAGAGAGAGAGAGAGAGAGAGAGAGAGAGAGAGAGAGAGAGAGAGAGAGAGAGAGAGAGAGAGGGGGGGGGGGGAGGAGGGGAGAGAAGAGAGGGAAGAGGGAGAGGGAGGAGGGAGGGAGAGGGGAGAGGGAGAGGGAGGGGGGAGGGAGGAGAGGAGGGGGGAGAGGAGGAGGAGAGGGAGGGGAGAGGAGAGAAGAGAGAGAGAGAGAGAGAGAGAGAGAGAGAGAGAAGAGAGAGAGAGAGAGAGAGAGAGAGAGAGAGAGAGGAGAGAGGAGAGAGAGAGAGAGAGAGAGAGAGAGAGAGAGAGAGAGAGAAAGAGAAAGAGAGAAAGAGAAAGAGAAGAGAAA